AACGGATGCAAGCTCCAGGAAAAGAGATTCCACCTCAACCTTAGGAGGCACTTCCCGACAGTGAGAGCTGTCCAACATTGGAATACATTCTCTCGGAGTGTGGTGGAGTCTCCTTCTTTGGAGGTCTTTAAACAGAGGCTGCACGACCATCTGTCAGAGGTGCTTTGATTGAGAGTTCCTGCATGACAGAAGGGGGTTGGATGGTCCTTGGGGGTCCCTTCCAACTCTAGGATCCTACATATACCTGCATGAAAGAAGAAGGGGGCTGGACTGGATGGCCCTTGGGGGTCCCCTCCAACTCTAGGATCCTATGTATTCCTGTATGGCAGAAGGGGGTTGGACTGGATGGCCCTTGGGGGTCCCTTCCAACTCTAGGATCCTATGTATCCCTGCATGGCAGAAGAAGGGGGCTGGACTGGATGGCCCTTGGGTGTCCCTTCTAACTCTAGGATCCTATGTATTCCTGCATGGCAGAAGAAGTGGGCTGGACTGGATGGCCCTTGGGTGTCCCTTTCAACTCTAGGATCCTATGTATTCCTGCATGGCAGAAGAAGAGGGTTAGACTGGATGGCCCTTGGAGGTCCCTTCCAACTCTAGGATGCTATGTATTCCTGCATAGCAGAAGTGGTTGGAGTGGATGCCCTTGGGGGTCCCTTCCAACTCTGCGATTCTGTGATTCTGTTCTGAGGGGCTGGAAGAGAGAGTTGCAGATTTTGCTATGTATTCATTGCAAGGCAAGACCCAATGAAGTGGGGAGAGACCAGCTGGAAGGCAGTCAGTCCTCCAAGGGTTAAAGGCACAGAGCTCTGCTTCCTAGAGAGGCTGGGAAGGTGGCAATCAAGGAATGGGGAGATCAAAGAGTTTTTGATTCCCAATTTTGGACAGAGGTTCCAACCCAGGGAGGAAGAGGATCCCTTTGGAAGGAGGTGGGTTTGCATTTTGGGATGATGGATGGAGGTTTGTTTCCAAAGGGAGGTTTGGGGAGGGGCTGACTTGCAGGTTGCACTGGATTTTGGGGGGCAGATTGGAGTAGATTGCACCCCAAAGATCCCTTTCAGCCCTAGGGCTGCCTCTGCAGTGCAGAATTAATGCAGTTCGACCCTGCTTCAATTGCTCTGGCTCTATGCAATGGGATCCTGGGATTTGTAGTTTGCTGTGGGGCACCAGAGCTCCCTTTATGTATAGCTGATCCATACATAAGGGTGAAAGAAAGCAGTAGGACACCACTTTAGCTGCCATGAGGTATCCTATAGAATCCTGGGATCTGTAGTTTGGTGAGGCACCAGAGCTCTCTGTCAGATGAGACTGAATACCTCACCAAACTACAAGTCCCAGGATTCCATAGGATGGAGCCATGCATGACAGCTCAAGTGATGGTAAAATGCTTTATTTCTCCAGCATGGATTAGCTGAGAGAAAGGCTTAGTATTTCACAATGCTGCAAATCCCAGAATCCCATAGCACTGAACCATGGAAGTTAAAGCGGTATCAAACTCCATTTTTTTGTGCAGTGCAGATGCAGTCTGTAGGCTTCACTGAACTCCACTGATGGCTCAGTTTCACAAACCAAAGGGAGAGAGACCTAAAAAGCAGCAGTGGGTGTGTCTACACTGCAAAAACGATGCAGTTTGACACCACTTTAAGTACTGCAGGTCCACCCTATCGACATCCTGGGATTTGTAGTTTCACAAGGCCTTTAGCATTCTCTGGATGCATCTTCAATGGAGAAATAATGCTGCATGTAAGTGCTGTCACTCCATCCTATGGACATCCTGGGATTTGTAGTTTCACCAGGTTCTTAGCCTTCTCTGGGTGCACCTTCACTGTAGGAATAATGTTAATTATAAGGGCCTGTCACTCTGTGGACATTCTGGGATATGTAGTTTCGCAAGGGCTTTGGCCTTCTCTGGTTGCATCTTCACTGTAGAAATAATGCCGCTTGTAAGGGCTGTGGTTCCATCCTATGGACATCCTGGGATATGTAGTTTCACAAAGCCTTTAGCCTTCTCTGGTTGCATTGTCACTGTAGAAATAATGCTGTGGCTCCATCATATGGACATCCTGGGATTTGTAGTTTCGCCAGGGCTCTAGCCTTCTCTGGTTGCATCTTCACTGTAGAAATAATGCAATTTGTAAGGGCTGTGGCTCCATCCTACGGACATCCTGGGATCTGTAGTTTTGCAAGGGCTCTAGCCTTCTCTGGTTGCATCTTCACTGTAAAAATAATGTCGCTTGTAAGGGCTGTGGCTCCATCCTATGAACATCCTGGGATTTGTATTTTCCCAAGGTCTTTAGACTTCTCTGGATGCATCTTCACTGTACAAATAATGTTGATGTCCTGATTTGGCAGGGAGAGTCCCAAATAACCCTCTGCCTTCCCACTTTCTCAGCTGCTTTTTACAATGTCCTGGTTTCTCTCTCCTCCACCACCTTTGTCCTCAGCTTATTTCATTTGCTGCAAACTGAGCTCCAAATGCCAAAAGTCTTTCCCACTCATCAGGCTGCATCCAGACTGCAGAATTAATGCAGTTTGACACCATTTGAACTGCCTGGCCTCAATGAAATTCTGGGATTTGTAGTTTTGTGAGACATTTAGCCTTCCCACTCACTTCTGGTGCCACCACAGACTCCAAATCCCAGGATTTCCTAGGACAGACAGAGCCAAAACAGTTAAAGCGGTGTCAGACTGCATTAATTCCGCAGTGCGGCAGCAGCATCAGTTAATGCAAAAAAGAGGCGAGGAGAGGAAGAAATCGAATCTTGCCCTTCCCAGTTCGTTCAGGCAAAAGCAAACTGCTGCAGCCTCTCCTAGCTTTTGCCCCCTTCCTATTTAAAGATCTTTGCCATCTTGATGATATTCTGATCTTATTTGGGTTCTTATCCGTGAAACGTTGGAGGATGTCGTGTTCTGGGAGTCTTGTTCAGAGGAGGTTTGCCATTGCCTTCACCTGAGGCTGAGAAAGTGTGACCTTGCCCAAGGTCACCCAGTAGGTTTACACGGCTGAGTCAGAATTCGAACCCTGATCTTCCAGAGTCATAGTCCAGCGCTCAAACCACTACACCACGCTGCCTCCTATAGTATGTTTTTTAAAAAAATTATTTTAAAATTATTAATTTTCATGATGAATTTTAAATATGGATTGTTTTTAATATGTATATATGTTGTTTGTCATTTTAAATTGATGTGTCTTTGAACTGATGCTGTTTATCCGTTTATTCTTGATGTCCCCTGCCTCGATCCATGGGAAGAGGCAGGTAAGAAAATAATAAAATAAAATAATAATAATAATAATACACATAGGCAACATAAAGGCACATAATAATAATAATAATAATAATAATAATAATAATAATAATAATAATAATATACGTAGGCGACTTAAAGGCACAGTATTATTATTATTATTAACACATTAATTTCACAGGGTTTTCTTAAGCAAGGAATCCCTAGAGGTGGTTTTGCCAGTTCTGTCCTCTGAAATATAGCCTATGGCACCTGGTATCCGTTGTCGGTCTCCCATCCAAGTACTAACCAGGGCTGGCCCTGCTTAGCTTCCAAGATCAGACAAGATCTGGTGCTTTTTGGGTATTTAGACCCACAGGGTGTGGGTATGCCTTCATGCCGCCTATTGCCTTATGAATTTCCTAGGATTTTCCTAGGTTTCATCTACACTGCATAAATAATTCAGTTTGACACCACTTTTACTGCCATGGCTCAGTGCTATGGGATCTTTGGAATTTTTGTTTATTGTGGCGCCAGAGCTCTTTGACAGAGAAGGCTATGAATAGTACAATTTATTCATGACAACCATATACAGGGTATAGTCATCCAGTTACAATCTTACAAATAATAATAATAATAATAATAATAATAATAATAATAATAATAGAATTCAAAGATATAGCTGTGTTAGTCTGTAGAATCAGCACCTTTGAGACTCACTGAAGGAAAGAAATTGGCAGTATAATAATAATAATAATAATAATAATAATACTTATCTGCCTCTCACTAAAACACATCCACCTCTAAAATTCATCATTGAAAATTCACAAATAATATAATAATTTAATTAATTGTTCAATCCTTTTGTACTTTTACTAAACATCTCACAAAACTACAGATCCCAGGATTCCATAGGATGGAGCCAGGGGAGTTAAAGCTGTGTCAAACTGCATTATTTCTGCACCCTCAGGCAAGGAGGTGGTTTTGCTGGTGGTTCCTTACTCTGAAATACAACCTACAGCACCTTTTCTTCGTTGGCGGTCTCCCATCCAAGTGCTAACCAGGGATGACCCTGCTTAGCATCCAGGATCAGACAGGATCTGGCGGTGCCGCTAGGGTATTTAGGCAAAATAAATGATTTTTTTTTAACATGGGGGGTATTCAAACCCAACCTATCACTATGACAAACGGTATCATTTAGCTTTATGATTAACATTTCGTGTTTCAAACATTTTTAGAAGAAATATGTCAAGCCTGTGCTGGGCTTTAAAAGGAACGGGGAACCAGTTAAGGATGGACAACAAGGACAGGAAAATGTATAAGATATTCTGAGGGAGAGTGTTTCATTGTTGAACAACCCCAAGGGCCATCCAGTCCAACCCCATTCTGCCATGCAGGAACTCTCAATCAAAGCATGCCCAACAGATGGCCATCCAGTCTCTGTTTAAAGACTTCCAAAGAAGGAGACTCCACCACTCTCCAAGGAAGAGTGTTCCACTGTTGAACAGCTCATACTGTCAGGATGATAGCCGTATTTGAATATTTGAAGGGATGTCATATCGAGGAGGGAGCAAGCTTGTTTTCTG